CTATATGAGTGCCTAGTTCGTTGAGGTCATCGCCTCGACTGTGGTCTTGGCTTGGCTTGGCTTGGTCGAGGATGTCGTCATTACCTCCTACATTAGAGCTGTATCGGTTTGCGAGGTCTGCGTGTTGCTCCTATGATGTGAAGTGTGCTCGCTCGATAGCACCGCCACTACTGTGTCCTAATCAGTGGACGAGGAGGAGGATAAGGAGGATGGAGGTGTCCGTGACAGGGCATCCGCATTGCCTTGACGGCTTCCTTTTCTTTCCATCTGTTCTACGTGTTCGATCTCCATCTCATGGTGCACTGTTGGATGTGTGGAACGAGTCCGTCTCCAACTGATGAGCAGTGTGGCTGCTTTAAATGTGACGTGTTGTAAACCGCCAACGGAGTGGAAGGACGAAGCCTATTCGTGCAGGCTGTGCTGACACCAGGTTGACTTAGAGCCTTAGTATTGTGGTGTCATGGGGTCAGCACAACGAACACGACCTTTTCTTCGACCCTATCTTCATCGCTGTGGTGACGCTGTGGTAGACGGCGATTTGGCGGAGAAAGTGCAGGTGGACCTGTTCCAGATGCCTGGCAGCATGATGGACGAGGAGGAGGAGGAGGAGAAGAAGGATGAGGAGGGTGGTTTATTTCATGCCAATCGAAACAGGTTTTCTTCTTATCTCACTTACCACCAGCTGTGCATCGCCTCGCACCATCTCAGCAATCACTTCTGCTAATTCCCAGCGCCCAGTCAAACACTTCTGTTGGTGTATCATTGCCCACACCATGCCTCAATAACCTCATTTCATCTACAATGGTGGATGCACGTGGTCCACATACCGTTTGAAGTGCTCTCAGTTTGGACCAAGCCTCCACCTGCTCACACGAGCCCACTTTGCTCATTCCCTTGGCGGCTTTACTCCATTTCATCGTGCTCATGAATGAAGACCACGTGTTCCAACTGTTCTTCCATCTGCGCCAACCTGCACGCATAGCAATAAGTTTGTTTGCTTGTGCCTCGTTCTCCCCTCATTTACTGTCTTTCCTACAGGGATGAGACGACTGTCCCTTGCTTATGCCGCCTCTTTGCCGTCATGCGAGTGATTGACCAGCAAATGTGAAGGCGGCGATTGTGTTGGATTAGTTTAGCCTTCCACCGCCTTTTGCCTACATTCATTCACGCATTAGCACAATTGTTATGCCACCTTCCAAGCCCTACTAACTAAGACGCACAACATCTGCGTGAGTATTTTCGGTAGCGTTAGTTCCTATTCCCCTTCACTTGGCCTTCCTTTCACTCTGGCACGTCAACTTGTGCAGGTGGCGACACTATAGGCAGGTCACTTCCTCCTCCTCCTTCCCTTAACCTCTATGCCCAGTTCTATCCACTCCATGTGCTTAGCAGCA